TAGTATAATAATAAAAAAAATATAATAAAAAAAAATAGTTTAACATAAAATTGAAGTGCATGGCATCGTGCCTTGCTAGAACAAGAGGCAAATTGCTGGAACTTCCCGTACTGGGGGGCGCTAGAAAAAAAATGACATGCGGGCGCTGAGGACCCTAAAACCGGCCCTGATTATAAGTGCACAGTATCATATAAATAAAACTCACCTTATGTATCGTTAATTAATATCTCCAACTAAATTCGACCTTGCAATTTTTGCAAACTCCCAAAAAAACCAAAACCTCTCAATCTTTTCGTTCGCACTGAAATTTTCTGTCTGCACTTATCGTTAAAATCACCACAGATTGTAGTCTCACTACACATAATTCGCACTCGGCAAACAAAATAATTGTAAAGGACTATTAACTGATACGATATTTGTGTTGTAATCGCACATGGTTTCAATTATTAATTTTAATTGATGTTTTTTAAGCGAAGTCCGACATTTTTGGAGCCCTACGGAGGAGCTCTCGCGACGGCAACAGTACGGGGTCTGCGGGGGAGCGATGCGAATGCAAAGTTGAACGCGAAGCAAATGGCGCGCAGAGTCGACCGAGTACTCGGGCTACTTCGGGTGGTGGTGGGGATGCATATGGTCGGCGGATCTATGGATCTTGGGCTTAGATCTTATAATACATGGACTGCTAACTGCTAGTCGAGCGTTAAGTGATAATAATAATTGGTAGTCTGCTCGAAGGCAGGTCCATTGAATGACAGCTATCACAAATAAATGATTCTCTTATCCTTCGTCGTATATCATCTTCATTACCACCATTTACACTTTTCTTCATGTATTTTTTCTTCTGCCTTCATGCTTCTTGATCTTTTTTTTTATTTATTCAACAATATATTTACAACTGTCCTACATAGACGTTAAGTAAATCGTTTGGCAATATAAATATATAAACTAGTTGGTATAGGTATGAGTGATTAAAATTATTCCGAGTGGATTTATTACACATAATTGACAGACAGGTTAATTCGGAGTATTTTTTAAAAGCAAATTTTCAAAAATCAACAATTTTTATAATTCAACCAGTTTCCCTAGGACTCTAATGGTTTAGTATGTTCATTAAGACCAAGTACTTTATCGTTATACCGTGTGAATCGTCTAATTTTAATTTTAACAAACGTCAAACAGAACTGCTCATTTTCTCAAACTTCAATGAATTTTTAAAATTAAACTACTTGTCGTAAGGCCGTAATATTTCAGTAAGTTCTATAAGCCCGTGATATATATATATATATATATATATATATATAATATCGCAAAAAAAAAGTTCCATGAAAATCGGCTTAATTTTTTTTTTTCAACAGTTAATTACAAGAAAACGGCTCGGTAGAATTTCACCTAAAACAAATCAGTATTATTACCGACTAATATCTTTCGAACAGTTTTTGATTTTTTAAAATCGATTCGGTAGTATGAGCTTAAATGTGGACGAAAACTTTAACACCTTTTTCCAAATTTTAAAGGAACGGCTCGGCCGATCGTCGCACAAAACTGACAAATAATAGTCCTCATTGAGATACATCATATAGTTTTTAAATTTCTAAAATCGTTTCAGGCGTTTTTGAGAAAACGTCGATCAAAAGTGTAATTTTGACAAATGCCAAAAAACACGATACTAATTTTTGCAAATTTTGACGAATTTTTAAAGCTAAACGAGTTGTCATAGGACTGCAATATTTTAGTATGATCTAGAAGACTATGGTATCTACCGTCAAAAAAATAATAATGATTTTTTTCTTAAACTTTATTACAAGAAAACGGCCCGGCCGATCTTTACCAAAAACTAATCAGCAAGATTCCCAACCAATATCTTTCGAACGGTTTTTGAATTTTCAAAATGGATTAAGAATTACGGGCTTAAACATTTACGAAAAATTTTTCACTTTTCTGCGATTTACAAAGAAACGGCTCGACCGATCGTCACACAAAACTCAGAAACGCTAGTCCTCATCAAAATACATCGAATGGCTTTTAAATTTTTGAAATCGGTCCCAACTTTTTTGAGAAAACGTCGATTTACTGCAAAAAATCTGTTTACATACACGCACACACATACATACTTTTTTCCAAATTTGGTCTCATTCGATTCAGAATAGCTTGAAACGTCGAGAAAACATAAAATTAGCGATTCGGATTTTTTGATGAAAACATAAACTTCTTCGGGAAGTTGAAAAATGACATCGATATACATAAAATACACAGTTGCATTTTTCCTTTATGAGAAGTAATGTAATATGACACGAGTAATTACAAGTTAATTAAGTCACTAAATATCCTTTTTTCGTCCACTCTTCTAAGGACTTTTTTATTTGCTATCTTGTATCTCTGTAAGGATGAGAATTTTGAAATGTAGTGCTGGAGGCGAATGAAGAAAATAAAGTGTACTGACAAGATTGCAAATGAAGAAGTCAAATGAGAAGAATGGGCGAACAAAGGACTCTACTGAGCACTATCCTGAAAAAAAAAGAAACTGGATCGGGCGCATTCTGCAAAAAGTGTGCCTCCTACACGACGTCGTCGAAGACAAAATAAACTAAAACTAAAAGGATTGGGTAAAAGAAGAATGCAGAAGGTATGCAGACTAAGGCGAAAAGAGAAAATACAGGAAACTGAAATCTGAAGCACATGGCCAGGAAACAGGAAAGAATAAGGTTGGAAAGAAAAATTCATAAAAATGAATATAAAGTTATATTTATAGTCATTAAATAATAGTAATAAAACAGTAATGGAAATAATAAACAAGGGAGGGAAGAAAATCATTGATTTTGTGGAAATCTCATACCATGGCCTTCGGGCAGACTACTGTTTATTATTACTTATCTTGTCTGTCCACTTTATCTTCTCCAGAACCACATTTCAAAACTCTCCAAGTAGTCCTTGTAGGCCTTTCTTAGAGTCCATGTTTCTGATCCGTACAGAGCTATGCTCCAGACATAGCACTTCATTAGTCTCTTCCGCAACTCGAGACTCAGTTTGCTCGTCAGTATTGTTCTTTCTTGGGAAAATATGAGAACTAGAAGAGTCCATGTATTATGAGGTCCATGTCTCTGATCCGTACAGAGCTATGCTCCAGATATAGCACATTATGAGTCTCTTCCGAGACTCAGTTTGCTCGTCAGTAGCGTTCTCTTCTTGGGAAACATATGAGGACTGATCAGTCCATGTATTATAAGGTCTAAGATCTTACGGCGTGCGGCGCACTCGTGTTGATGTTGATGCATGTTTCAGGGTGCACTACCATTTAAGCCAAAGGCTCTCAAACTTTTCTGTATAGACCCTAGGGACCACTTGAATTATAATTAGTGGTGCATGGCATCGTGCCAGCAAATTGTTGAAAAGAAAGGACCAGACCGATTTTAGCCAAAAAAATCTAATCAGCGCAATTCTTAACTGACGAGTTTTTAAATTTTCAAAATCGTTGAAAACATGGACGAAATGTTTTGCACTTTTCTGCTAAAAAACGGCTTTACTGATAATCATGCAAAACTTGGCCATGCGAGATCTTATAAAGTTTGAATTTTTGAAATCTGAAATATAAAATTCTGGCTTACATAAGTTTTGGAGTAAAGCGATTTTTAGAGTGATAAGAGAAAACATAAAACTTGCAAGTTGGATTTTCTGGAGAAAGCATTGACTTATCTTTCGGAAAGTTTAGAGAATATTCTTAAGTATAATTGTTCTTTTTTTACTTTTACCATTACAAATTGTATTGCAAGTAATGTAAATGACATTTATGATAAAAAAAAAACAGAACTAGTGGGGTGTATGGCATCGTGCCATAAGGCAAATTGCTGGAACTTCCCGTGCCGTAACGAAATGTTCGAGGAATACTGAATGTTTTCAAATAGATTATTATTATAATATTGTAACATTGTCTAATATTTATAAGAATTATATAAACTGAATTGCAAAGTTGAAATTATTTGTTTAAACTATACTAGAACTATAGTCAGAATTAAAAATAAAATATTTTCGATATAAAAAAAATTTTTCTTTTAAAAAAAAAAGTTGAAACAAATTTTTTTTTCCAAAATCAATTATTTTGTTAAGACAAGCAGAAAGTTCTTTGAATCATTTAAATCGGACGCTTAGTTCTTTCAAAAACTGCCGTTTTTTACATATTTATCTCCGTATCTTCAAAATGGCTGGGACTGCCTTTGCCAAAAACTAATAAACACTTCTCCCAATCATTACTAATTGAATGTTTTTTAGATCATTCAAATCGGATGCTCCGTTCACTCAAAAACTCGATTTCTATTTTCTGCACTCTTTGCTCCGTATCGCCGAAACGGATGGACCTGCCTTTGCTAAAAACTAATCAGCTCTTCTCCCTATCGATAGGAATCGAATGCTTTTTGAATCACTCAAATCGGTTGATCCGTGCGCCCGAAAACGTGACTGGAAATTTGTATCCATACATACAGACACACACACACACATCCATTTTTTCTGAGGTATGCCAAAATGTTCAGAAACCTTCAAAACGTCGAGAAATGTAAAAATTCTCAATTTCGATTTTCGGCCCATTACAATAACTTACCCTACGGGAAGTTAATAAACTGGTGAATCACTAAAAAAATGAGAGCAATTCGCTGTTTTTCTTCATAATTAAAATTAACCAAAACGGACTAAATTAAGATAGTCTTTAGAAGATCTATTGAGTATTTAAAATGAGAAGAAAGTGCTTGCTTTAAGAAGATACATTTCAAATTGAAATTTCACCATGATAAAAATCTTCTAAAATAATTATAAAATTAAAAGACAGCTTTATGATGTTTACCCAAGCAAAAAACTAGTTCATTTACAAATTGAAAATAATCATTTATTATTTATTTATTGTAAAAACAAGTATAAATCGAAAAAGATTCGAGATTCTTTTCCCAAGTTAAAATAAATTGTTATACACATCATTATACAATTGCAGTATCTAGTTAGTAATAAATGTCTTATTTTAGATAGTAAATCACAAGCAGAAGGGCCCATTTTAGGAATCACGCCAAATATATAAAAGTGTTGATGTCATCATCGTCTCGTTTCATATATTTGTGCTCAATCAGCCACTCGAGTTGTTCTTTGATCATCTTCTTTGAGGGAAGGAACATATTCTTCAAGATATCCACTAGTTCTGCTTGCAGAGCTGCATTTGCCAGTCTTTTCCTCATTTTCATGATTTTGATTATGGCTTCTTGGGTTCTTAAAATACGCAACTGCACTATGGAATGGTTGTCTTCTAATTGAGACCTCTCTGTGCTCAACTGCAGTCGTCCTATAAGATTGACTTTACCGCGCCTTTGTGGTTTACCATTTTTAATCAGGGAAAAATCTTGGTTGACCCAGAACAAGGTGTGTTCCATAAAATCTTTAGGACCGGATGCTGAGGGCTCATAAGATAAAGGTTGCCGCTTGAGTTTCGGAAATGCGACCAAAGACCATAAGGTCCTTCTTAATTCCAAGTCTGGAAGCTCTGTGGCAAGCCTTAAATTCTCATAAGTGATTTTTTCAAACGGTCTTTGATTCCATGCAAACAATACCGCCATTTGGAAGGTTGTAACATCCAAATCGTACTTACCAACTTGATTTGCAAATGTTATGGTTCCATTGCTCATGTGATGATACCATTGTAACTTCCTACCAGAGTGTTTGATTTTATAAAACTCTTCCACCTCTGGAATGTAGTCTTCTAGTTCCAAAGGTAAACTTACAGAAACTCTTTCAGATCCTCTGGCCCAAGCGCCTGCATTTAAAATTTTAATATTTATAGCATCATGTCTGGTTGTTTCTGACCTAAATTGAGTGTTAAGATCTTCGCTGACTTTCACATCTTGGAACATCCTGGCTAATTTGTTTACATAATCAGCAGGCATTCCAACTTCACGCAACCATTCGACCATATCCTCTTCTTTTTCACTATCAGCACTGGTATCAAGAATTAACCGTCTAGTTAAATGTGCTTTGTGGTACCTCATGAAGACATCTTTATTACCCACATATTTTAGTACCAAAAGTACGTTTTTAAGTTTTTTTTCTATCTCTTCGCTTGTCAATCTTTTGCTTAAGGGGGTTCGTCGTAACAACATATCACAATAATTAGCTAATAACTCAGGACATTTGCTTTCGGGTGCTGAAATTTTAGTGGTTCTTGAATTATTACATACCGGTAGTTCCAATTTGAAGACACTTGTATCATTTACAACGTTTTTGTAAGCTTTATCACGCGCCGTGAGAAATCTTGGGTCATCTAAGAATGCTTCTTCCACCAAGGTGCTGAAACGTTTGAACAAATCCAGGAGTCGTTCTACGTACTTTTCAGAATCCTGAGTGATAATATCAGCAGCAAATTTCATATCTGCTAAGCCTGCTGATACTATATGTGTTTCTAAGTCTCGCAACATTGGATCGACGCCTCCAGGGACTCTGTCAAGTAATTTAAACATCAATTGCAATCTTTCAGTCTCTCCGGCTGATATCAGTGGGGCACATTCAGCTAACAAAGTAGATAACCTGTCTTTAACAAGTACTGAGACACAACTTTGGATTAAACAAGCAACACTACCGCTTCCAGGCTCTAAATACCTATGAGCCCTTTGTTCTTCCTCTCTTAACTTTGAATCAGCATACCGCATATATGATTGAACACCATGCTCTTGCAAATACTCATTCGCTTGAAGTTTATAAAAACTTTCTGTAGCTTGTATATAGGCAGCTTCAAAATTCTCTCTGTAAATTTGTAATTTATCATCAGGATTAGAACATAGATTAACATACGATTCACGCACACCTATTACAAGTTGTGAGTCAAAGGCTTCACCGTTACGTTCAGCATGCACAAGTTTCATAGCTGAGTCTTGTAAAGTCTTTTTTATGTCCAAGAATATACTTTGGTTCCAGGAATCGAGCATTAAATTCCTCACTATACTTTCATCCGGTGTTATTTTCTTATTTGTTCCCGAAGAGTAGTGCATAGAAGTGTGAGAACTGTTGCCTAATAGGGCTGATTCTAATTGTCTAAAGGGGGTAGGTAGATAATTACATTGGGTGAAGAACTTTCTCCATTCTTTGATATAAGCTTTGAGCAAGGCTTGTTCTTCGCAATGGGCTAACACACGAGCTTGTGCTTCTTTGATGAATTTAACAATATCTTCTTGTAGAGCATCCCGTACTTTAATAGGACCTTTTTCATCCCACAAACACACTAAATGAACTGAATAAAATAAATCTTGCCACTCTGACTGGGTTATGGATTCTTGTTTTAATAATTTTGACACTATAGGGTGCATTGAGGGCCATTTGTCTTCGAAGGCCAATTGGCCCTTTTTTAACATAGCCATTGTAATAAAGCACTTATTTAATTTTACTGTAAATTTGTATAAATAACTTCTAATCTACATGGTTGAGAATGAACAATACGAATAAAATAAAATTATCGTAGTGAATTACAATATCATTAGTTGAGAATTATTTTACACTATCATCTAATATTATTTTAAAATATTTACAATACAATTTATTAAGTAGTTCTTATATTTATTTCATTTATTAATTCATTATTTAGTTTTGCAGAAGTTTTGGCTTATGGCTATGTTTTTATAGTGTTGGCAATACTGTGAAGGGACGCCATACCGGCAAATTCAAATGAACTGTCAAAATAATTTCATACGCAATTTTAAAGCAAATTATAATTGTACATTTTACATGTAATTATTCATTAATAATGAAATTATTTATTTCCTCAACTTTTGCTATAAATTTCCAGGCTGATCAAAAATTTAGAAAAAATCTCAGGAATAATCACATAATGTAGACAATGCAAGATTTAAAATTTGACGTTATACTTCTAAATCTAATTGCAAAAGGTTACTTTAATCATGGATAGATAGAAAGCAATTATTTTGTAAAAACAAGCAGAAAGTATTTTGAATCATTTAAATCGGACGCTTAGTTCTCTCAAAATCTGCCAGTTTTTAAACATTTAGCTCTGTATCTCCGAAACCGCTGGGCCTACCTTTGCCAAAAACTAATAACCACTTTTCCCCGTCATTACGAACTGAATGTTTTTTTGGATCATACAAATCGGATGATCCATTCTCTCAAAAACTCGATTTCTATTTTCTGCACTCTTTGCTCCGTATCTCCGTAACGGCTGGACCTGCCTTTGCCAAAAACTAATCAGCACATCTCCCTATCGATAGGAATCGAATGTTTTTTGAACCATTCAAATCGGTTGATCCGTGCGCCCGAAAACGTGACTGGAAATTTGTATCCATATATACATACACACACACACACATCCAATTTTTCTGAGGTATGCCAAAATGTTAAGAAACCTTCAAAATGTCGAGAAATGTAAAAAAATTCAATTTCGATTTTCAGCCCATTACAATAACACCCTACGGGAAGTTAATAAATATAAAAAAACTAAATAAATTGTATGTAAATATAATAAAATAATATTAGATAATAGTCTAAAATAATTCTGAACTAATAATATTGTAATTCAATATAATTTTGTCTTAATCATATTGTTCATTCAGGGTGGTCCTTGATATGGATGTTATCGAATTTCTTACCCTCAAGTGGCTCAAATGCTTCCAAGTTTGTAAAAAAAATTCTCTGAAAGTTTTAGCTCTTTTAGTTTAATATTAATTATATAGTTTTTAGTTTAATACTAATTACTTTTAGTTTAATACACATTACATTATTCTTTAAGATAATTCGTGCTCCAACCAAAGATCCTTGGTTCTTCTTCCTAAGTAAATACTTATTTTATAAAATATATCAAATTTTTGTTATAATTTTTTAAAATTATGATCAAAATAAGCAAATACAATGTTGTAGACTTATAATTCACTTGTTGCTAAGTTATAATATTCTAAATTGAAATTTTACCCATAAGAATCTTTGGTAGGGTGCGGCTTATCTTAAAGCTTTTAACTTTAAGAGCTAAAACGTTCAAGTAACTTTCTTTTGATATCAACTAAATTATTTATTTACTTTACCTTTCTGCAACAAATCTTTAAAGTGCAAAATTTTTCACATAATTGGACATGACCCCATAAGCACCTGACTATATCATGGAACCGATGAAAACACTAAACCTGGACAACCACAAAGCCTGATTGTTGGAAATTGTTTTGTTTGACCAGGAGTCTTTAAGACATTCACTACCTGAAAGAAAGATATACAATTGTAAGTGTAAATAGTTGTTGTATCAGATTATTTACTTTTTTCCCCATAAGTGCATTCACCAAAGAAGATTTACCAACATTTGGTTGACCGGTACCACCTATAGTTAAGACATCATTATTGTATGACTTGTACTTATTAATTATTTTGCAACAATCAGACAATCAATCAACAATCACCTACAAAAAAGTTTTTGCCACAGATTTTTAAAAAAAGTTTTTGCTGTTTCATTTTTATAAAATTTTCAAAGATATTTATCCATGAAATGTGTTTTGACAAAGTCAACCCAACCTAAAGTTAAGACATCATTCTTGTATGGTTCAAGCTTCTTTGCAACTATTTGCAATTACTTTGCAACAATGAGACAAACAATAATATCTTCAAACAATTTTCAGATCTATAAAAAGCAAAAAGTTATCATTAATCAATATATGTATTTATTTCAATTGATATATTATACATAAACTTAGTATATATATACTATATCAATATTTATATAATATTAGTTATATCTATATCTTCACCTTATTAAATAACTTATAATAAAATGAAGCAACGTAATAAAATCTACAATAATGTAACTATCTCGATTGTAATTATAAAATTAATTTATGAAATAATTTTTAACAATTCTAACAAATATAATGGATGTAATATTCAACCCAAAACATTATTCATTCAAACTCGAACATATATATTTAAAAACTATAATTGGACAATTGTTTTAGTTAAATATTAATATTAAATTTTGTTATATAAAATTTTATATAATCAATACTAAGTGTTTTTGCACATAACAGTTTTTTTTTAAATAGAAATATAATTAGTTATATAAATATAAAACAAAACTTAAAATAAATAAAAGCATATAAAGAAATATCAATAGTAATATTTTCATAAAATATTACATGCAAATCATGAACATAAGTATTTTTTATATCAAGAGTTTTGCTTATATTTTCTCTAAAATGATAATATAAAAACAAATTTGCCATCTAACGTTTTTGTACTTTCAAGAAAAAGAAATAAATTCAGACAATATGTAGTAAATTTTTTATAACATTTTCCTTTAAAAAAAAGTTACTTAATATATAACTATTTCTAAAAAAATAGTTTGTTATCATGCAATTAAAAAACTCATTTTGTCAACTTCTTATAATATATATTTAGATATTTCTTTATATAAACTATTCATTTATTTTAAAAATAAGTTTTGTTCTTAATCTTGTAAATAAAAACATGGATGTTTTGAGGATGGAAAGTGAAAGTTTTATAAATTAAATTTTATAGAAGTTTTTATAAAATATAAATTATATATATATATATATATATATATATAATTAAATATATAATGAATTTTATTAACTCATATCAGACCAACAATTTGCAAAAGTAAAATGGAATAAAAAAAAAATCTAAATTTCATCATACTAATCTAATTCTTGCAAAAACTCTATGAATTATGAACACAAAGCTTCCAGAAAAACTCATACAGTGATGGGAACAGAAGAAAAGGTTTATAATAATATTTCACTACCTAATTCACAAGTTTCAGCAAATTAAAATAAATGTATTTGACCGACATTATCATGATCTGTTAGCAGCATCATATTTAGAATTGTACAAAGAAAAATTACCAGATCTAATGAATGATGGTGAAAATATTAACTAAATAATGGGTAATAAAAATAGTAGGATCGGTCATACTAATGAGCGAAGCAATAATCACATCATATTTAGAATTATAGAATCCACCAAGATGTTGCGAGTATCCCACTTAAATTTAGTTGTGAAAGAGTTGATCTGATACAGGATAGTAAAACTTATTAATCATAGAGATAGCAAATGAAACAAGATTTTTACAAAATTCATAACCAAGCTGACTTGTTATTAGACCAAGTATTTTCCATTTATTGTCAAAAAAATGAAGATCAATGTGAATAAAGTAATTTGACACAACTCCAAAAGGGGACTCCAATTTCCAAAAGAACTCAATTGCAACAATTGTTGAAACATGATTCAGTATAATCAGAAAAATAGCAGAAGACTTATGAAAAACTAGTCAAAGGGACTCCAATTTCCAAACAAACTCAATTTCCACAAATTGTTGCAACATAATTCAGTGTAAACCAAAAAAAAATAGAAGACAATTTATGAAAAACTAGTTGAAGCAATTCCAATTTTGAAAAAGACTCTATTACAACAAAGCAGAACTAACTAAACTAGTTAAATGGGACTCAACATTTCAAAAAGAAGAAGACTCTTAATTTTTAAAATGAAAAATTCGGTATTAGGTAAAGTTGTGCTAAAAATACTTTTTTTACTAACTTATAATAGTATATATGCAACATACATATACATATACATATATATATATATATATTATATATATATATATATATATTATATATATATATATATATATATATATATATAGTTTTGTCGGCGTTGATACATATTTGTAATATTTTTGAAGCCCAATCATTGAATTAAAAAAAGATTAAATAACAAAATTATTTATTCCATTAAACGTTTCGACACTTGATGTGTGTCATCATTCAGTAATCTAAAAAACTGATAACAAATACAAAGTTGATAAATATAAATATATAAAAAAGGAGGAATTTATGCATACCAAACCAAGAAAGACAACAGAAAAAATTAATTATGATGTAAAATTGATTGAACACTAAATTTGTGTAAAATAATATACTATTATATTGACAAATGAGAAATTGAGGAAGCACATATTGCCCTCCTATATTTAATGTTATTAATAGCGGTGCATTATGGACACTGATCAAGGTTTCAACACAAGTGTAGTCACGCATACATCATATTTTTTTTTGTTTTTCCTGGTTTGGTATGTATAATTTCCTCCTTTTTTATATATTTATAAATATCATCAACTTTAATGAATAAATAATTTTGCTATTTAATCTTTTTTTAATTCGATGACAGGCTGCAAAAAATATTACAAATACATATATATATATATATATATATTTATATATATATATATACATATATATATATATATATATATATTTTTGTCAAAAGTGTCAAATATTGTATACAAGTAAAATGCATACACAATCCGCAAGTCAAAATTTATGTACTATCACATCCATATAGTACAACAAAGTCTAATATGAGTTAATTTTAATTCAAATTCTTTATATTATTAAATCTAGAAGATTTTATGTATGTATTTATATAACACCATAATAAAAATATAAACTTTTGTACTTCTCTATATACAAATCCGCAAGATACATACATACATTATATATGTATATATACATAAAAATTACATAAGCATTATGTATTAAAATTTCTTGCATTTTAATACATAACATTATGTTATAATACCTGCATCAACATGCCTCTGTATATCCTCAATACATTCCTCAAAATCTAGTTGCTCCCCATCCTCAACTTCATCCTTAACATCCTCTACAAGGTTTACAACCTCAGCATCATCCATTTCTTCAGCCTCGGCTTCTTCAATTTCTTCAACCACAACATCATCTATTTCTTCAGCTTCAATTTCTTCAACCACAACATCATCTATTTCTTCAGCCTCTTCATCTTGAACTTCATCCTCCTCAGCCTCAGCATTAATTTTAAAGCGCTTCGAATACCGCCTTGGGGAACACCTAGTTCTCTTAACCTTAAGCACCTTTCTAACTCTCTTAGGCTGAGGCTGCGGTTCTGGTGGAATATCTTCCAGTGTCTCTTCTGGTTCCTCTTCTGCTGGTTGTTCCTGGTATTCTTGTACGTCGTTCTCAAAGCCATCATGTGGAATGTTGGATAATTTAAGAACGTGCAGAATGACTTCGTCAACTGTACGATTGTTCAACAGTGTGGTTATGGTTGCGTCATCGATGACAGATGTGAATAATAGTTTGGCGTTTTCTCGTATTCTCTGCACCAGCTCTGGGTAGTCTTCGACTCGGGCTGGTTCGTGGCCGCATCGGGCAATTACACTTTCAAGAATCTAGACAAGGAAAATTTGTATTAAAATAATTGTCAGAGCAATAGATATTTTAAATATATTTAATGCTGAGGCTGAGGAGGAGGATGATGATGATGCAGCTAAAGAAATAGATGATGATGTGGTTGAATAAATTGAAGCTGAAGAACTAGATGATGTTGTGGTTGAAGAAATTGAAGAAGCTGAGGCAGAAGAAATGGATGATGCTGAGGTTGTACACCTTGTAGAAGATGTTAAGGATGAAGTTGAGGATGGGGAGCAACTAGATTTTGCTAGATTTTTGGTATGGTGAAAATATATTACAAACTTTCCGAAAGAGAATTTAATGTTTTTGTCAGAAAATCCCACTTGTAATTTTTTGTTTACTTGTGAGATGATTCAATCTTTTAAATAGATAAACGTGTTTTTAGAAATAAGAAAACAAGATAAAATTTGTGAGATAATCTCTTGATCAAAAAATTTGGGTTCAATATTTTGACTACATAAATGTGTTTTCTCAGAAAGAGAAGAATGATGAAAAAGATGAAATTAAGATGAAATTATCTAAAATTTCATATAAAACGTCTTATGCAGAACTTATTAGATTTTTAATAATTATTTCTAAATTTCACACAAAAAAAATGTGGGTTCAATCTTTTAAATAAATAAATGTGTTTTCAGAAAAATAAGAATGATGAAAAAGATGAAATTAAGATAAAATTATCTAAAATTTTATATAAAACGTCATATGCAGAATTTATTAAATTTCTAAAAATTATTTCTAATAATTTTTAATTGCCCTGCTGGTTCAGGTATATTTTTTTAGTTTTTATTGTATATCTTTTAAATAAATAAATTTAGACAAATGTTGTATCAAAAAGATAAGTAGTTAATATTATCTAAAAAACAGTATTAAAATTTTATAAAAGTTCCAGTTTAAATAATATATAAAACAATAAACAACAGACTTGATCTAAACAAAACAAAATTATTAGTAATAGTTTTAATATAATAGAAGATTATCTTAATCTTATCTTTACTAAATAATATATATTTATCTTTTTATGAACTTATAAGTACTTACAAACTTTCTAAAAGAGAATTTAAGTTTAAGTTTTTGACAGAAAATCCGACTTGCTAATTTTATGCTTACTTGTGAGATGGTTCAATCTTTTAAATAGATTGAATGTAGATAAATGTGTTTTTAGAAATAAGAAAACAAGATAAAATTTGTGAGATCATCTTTTGATAAAAAAATGTGGGTTCAATCTTTTAAATAAATGTGTTTTCTCAGAAAAATAAGAATGATAAAAAAGATAAAATTAAGATAAAATTATCTAAAATTTCATATAAAACGTCATATGCAGAATTTATTAGATTTCTAACAATCTATTTCTAATAATTATTAATGGCCCTGCTGGTTCAATTACAATTTTTTAGTTCATTGTGTATCTTTTAAATAAATAAATTTAGACGAGTGTGGTATCAAAAAGATAATAAGTAGTTAATATTATCTAAAATAAAGTATTAAAATTGTATAAAAGTTCTATCTTAAATAATATGACACTAAACAACAGACTTGATCTAAACAAAACAAAATTATTAGTAATAGCTTTAATATAATATAAGATTATCTCAATCTTATCTTTACTGAATAATATATACTGATCTTTTTAAGAACTTATAAGTACTTAAAAGCTTTCCAAAAGAGAATTTAACGTTTTTGCCAGAAAATCTGACTTGCTTATGTTATGCTTACTTATGAGATGGTTCAATGTTTTAAATAGATAAATGTAGATAAATGTGTTTTTAGAAATATGAAAACAAGATAAAATTTGTGAGATGATCTCTTGATAAAAAAAATGTGGGTTCTATCTTTTAAATAATTAAGAGTCTTCTCAGAAGGATAAGAATGATGAAAAAGATGAAATTAAGATAAAATTATCTTAAAATTTCATATAAAACGTCTTATGCAGAACTTATTAGATTTCTAATAATTATTTCTAATAATTATTAATGGCCCTGCTGGTTCAGGTACAATTTTTTAGTTTTTATTGTGTATCTTTTAAATAAAAAAATTATAGACGAATGTAGCATCAAAAAGATAAACTAGTTAAGATTATCTAAATAACTGTAATAAAATTTTATATATGTTAGTTCTAGTTTAAAAAATATATAACCTTAAACAACAGACTTAGACAAAACAAAATTATTAATAATTATGTTAGATTATCTAGATCTTATCTTCTTGACAAAATCTATATTCCTCTTTTTAAAACCAACAAGGAAATACTCGAACAATAAATAATTTTATTAATAATTTCCTGAAGGAGGGGCATGTGTTATTGACAAAGACTGATTTTGTTTGCTAGTATTTTGACTAATCAACATTTAAGTCATTCTGAATCGTTTGACACAAAAATCATGAAAACTGTGTGTATATGAATCAAAATTTGGCATTTTATTAACGTCTTAAAAACGGCGATGATTTTAATTAAATTTGCATAGTTAAAGAGTTCATGATCTAAATGAGCTTCTTAAAATATTATAGGCCTAAGAAAATGGTTTCATTGTAAAAATTAATAAAAGCCTGAACAAAAACATCATTTCGTGTTTGTAAGTAGATAAATATATAGATAAATATGCAGATTAATAAGTAAATAAATACATAAATAGATAAATACATGAATGAATGAATATAGAAATAAATAAATATGGAAATAAATAAATATATAAATATAGAAAGGAATAAATATAGAAATAAACAAATATATAAGGTTTACTCAACGTTTAAGTAATTCTAAATCATTTGACACAGAAATCATGAAAGGAATGTGTATGAATCAAAATCTGGCATTTCATTAAAGTTTTCTTAAAATCGGTTGCAACGGTGATGATTTTAATGAAACTTTGCATAGTTATGGAGCACATGATGTAAATGAGCTTTCTAAAATATTATAGGCCTAAGAAAAGTGGTTTATTTTTAAAAATTAATAGAAGTTCGAACAAAAACATTATTTCATGTTTGTAAGTAGATAAATAAATATATAGATAAATATGCAGATTAATAAGTAAATAAATACATAAATAGATAAATACATGATTGAATGAATATGGAAATAAATAAATATAGAAATAATTAAATATAGAAATAAATAAATATATAACGTTTACTCAACGTTTAAGTAATTCTAAATCATTTGACACAGATATCATGAAAAGTATGTGTATACAAGTCAAAATTTTGCATTTTTTTAATGTGTTCTTAAAATCGATTGCAACGGTGATGATTTTAATGAAAACTTGCATAGTTAAAGAGTTCATGATCTAAATGAGCTTCCTAAAATATTATAGGCCTAAGAAAGAAAATGGTTTCATTGTAAAGATTAATAGAAGTTTGAACAAAAACATTATTTCATGTTTGTAAGTAGATAAACAAATATATAGATAAATATGCAGATTAATAAGTAAATAAATACATAAGTAGATAAATACATGAATGAATGAATATAGAAATAAATAAATATAGAAATAAATAAATATAGAAATAAATAAATATAGAAATAAATAAATATAGAAATAAATAAATATAGAAATAAATATAGAAACAAACAAATATAGAAACAAACAAATATAGAAACAAACAAATATAGAAACAAACAAATATAGAAACAAACAAATATAGAAACAAACAAATATAGAAACAAACAAATAAATATAGAAACAAATAAATATAGAAACAAACAAATAAATATAGAAACAAACAAAGAAATATAGAAACAAACAAAGAAATATAGAAACAAATAAATAAATATAAAAACAAATAAATAAATATAAAAATAAATAAATATAAAAATAAATAAATAAATATAAAAATAAATAAAATATAGAAATAAATAAAGAATTATATAAATAAATAAATAAAACTTGCATTTGAAATTTCCTAATTAAGAGTTTGTAGATAAGTAAATAAATAAGTAAATAAATATTTAATATAATATATAAATAGATGAGCAAATAAATCTTACATTTAAAATATTTCAATTGCAAATTTATTTAGTGTTTGTAAATAAATAAATAAAACTTACATTTGCCACATCAGCATCAGGCCACCCGAATTCTGTTAAAGTCTCTTCATCGATAAGCAGATTTAATAACAGCCTAATATTTTTACACAAAGCCTCCTCCGTTAGAAAACCACACTAAAATGAACAAAATATTAATTACACATTAAATTAAAATGTCTATTATTACTTATAATAAAGATTTACTTTAATTTCTACAGGTATTTCAGCCTGATCAGGATTATCAACAAACTCCTCATCATTAATATCTTCCTTGACTTCATTGGCAACAGCCACTTCTTCTTCCTGCATACTTTTCAGCAAAACCAGTTTCAACTTTTTCTTTTCAGCCTTCGATATGATTTCTTCAAGCTGGTCCCTGTGTTTAGACCTCATGTGGCGGTATAAACAGTCTCTAGAATAAAAAATATAATAATCAGAGAAATATTGCTTGATTGAATAAATGATTAAATAAATATTCTTACCGTCTTATAAATGCTCTTCCACAAGTATGACATGATCTGGGCTCTTCCTTAACGTGGATTCTCAAGTGCATTGATAATGATGCTTTCGTTGCAAATCTTTTGTGGCAGATTTCACATTCGAAATCTAAAATAGATAAATAGATAATAAAGTACATTGAATAAAATAAGTAATACAGTATATGAATAAATATAATGAAGTATAAAGTTAGGGAATAAAGTAACCGATATATAATAAAGTAAAATATATAAATTAATAAAGTAAACAATATATAAATAAATAAAAATAACATAAATAAATAATAAAGTTAGTATGCAAATGAATAAATGTAAATGTAATAAATAATAAGCATGTAATAAATATAAATATAATATGTAATTAGGTAGGAGTAAATGAGATAAATAAAAATGTAAATATTGATGATAAATAATAATAAATGTAAGTATAAATGCCTTAGATAAATAATAAAAATGTAAATGTAAATGTAAGTGTAAATGTAATATAAAAATTAAAAAATATAAAATGAATAAATAAATAAATGTAAGTTGATAAAGAAATAACAATGTAAACGTGATAAAAATTTAAATAATAAATATAAAGGTAATAAATAAATTATGAAGTAAATGTAATGAATAAAAATGGAAATGTAAATGTGATAAAAATTTAAATAATAAATGTAAATGTGGACGTTTTTTTAAACAAAAATATACAATATAAATGTAATAAATAATGAAGAATAAATGCACATGCATGCATAGTAATAAATAAATGTAATATATATGAAGGAGAAAGTTATATAAATTTAATAAAATAAATGTAAGGTATGTATGTAAAAAAGTAATTATATACATAAATAATAAAGCACTACATAAATAAATAAAGTACATAAATATAAAATGCAGTAAATATATAAACAAATAAATAATATATAAATAAATAATAAAGAATAAATAAATAATAAAATATAGTTAGGGAATAAAGTAACCGATATAATATAAAGTAAAATATATAAGCTGATAAAGTAAATCATATATAACTAAATAAAAAAAAACAAATAAAGTTAGTATGTAAATGAATAAATTGAATGTAATAAATAATAAGCATGTAATAAATATAAATATAATATGTAATTAGGTAGGAGTAAATCATATATAACTAAATAAAAAAAAACAAATTATGAAGTTAGTATGTAAATGAATAAATGTAATAAATAATAAGCATGTAATAAATATAAATATAATATATAATTAGGTAGGGGAAAATGAGATAAATAAAAATGTAAATATTGATAAATAATGATAAACGCAAGTATAAATGTCTTAGATAAATAATAAAAGTGTAAATGAAAATGTAAGTGTAAATTTAATATAAAAATTAAAAAATATAAAATGAATAAATAAATAAATATAAATTGATAAAGAAATAACAATGTAAATGTGAAAAATTTAAATAATAAATGTAAAGGTAATAAATAAATTATAAAGTAAATGTAATTAATAAAAATGGAAATGTAAATGTGGATGCTTTTTAAATAAAGAAATGTAAATGTAAAAATACAATGTAAATGTTATAAAAATTCAAATTAAATAATAAATGTAAATGTGGACGTTTTTTTAAATAAAAATATAGAATATAAATGTAATAAATGAATAATAAATGCACATGCATGAATAAATAAATGTAATAATATACAAGAAGGTGAAATTATTATAAATGTAATAAGTAAATGTAAAGTATGTATATAAAAAGTAATTATATATAGAAATAATAAAGCACTACATAAATAAAGTATATGCTTAAGGGGGGCGATACATGTAACAAGAAAAAAAAAATCGATTTTTTTTTATTTCATAAATCGTTACAATAACATCTCAAAAATATGCCTGTAAATATTCAAAACAAAATTATCATTATTTATACAATAAAAACTCATTTAAGTGCCACGCCTCAACTCGACGCTTGAGTGCTATTGTAAACTTTAAACGCGTTTTTCTCAAAACGACATTTTTGAAATTTGCGGGCGTGATAACTCAAAAAGTTCTCAACCGATTCCAATGAAATTTTGCACACATCTACTTTACAGTAATAGCTTCTAGTTAAACCTCAAACATTCCAAAAAATGTTTCAAAAATTAACCCTTTTACCAAAAAAACCATTGAAAAAAAGGTGAAAAATCGAACTTTTTTTTTCTAAGGTGTGCCAATTTACGATTTTGTGACTTTTTTAATTTTTTTTGGTTTAACTAGAAGATATATGTTTTATGAACACGTACAAACTAATTTTTTTAAATTCAGATCACCGTACGAAAAGTGAGAACGCCCGCAAATTGATGGCGTTTTCCGAGAGGGTCTTGGCAGATTTATTTTTACGGCAGCCATTTAAAAAGAAAAAATTTAAAAAAAATTTTTTTTGTGTATTTTAATATATAATAAATAACCCTAAAAAAATTCAAAAAGATTCAATCATTCCTTCCCAGTTTAAAAAGTCCTCAAAAAATGGTAAAAATTACGGCGATTACATGTATCGCCCCCCTTAAATATAAAATGCAGTACTATATATAAACAAATAAATAATATATAAATAAAAATATGAAGTATAAATAAATAATAAAAAGAAGTATATATAATAAAATATTTAATTTAAAAGTAATAAGTTGTAAGAATCATTGTTATGGAATCGTTTTTATAAAAATTTACTCCACAAACAAAAATCTTTCAAGTTTTTCGCATTCAAAATCTAAAATAGATAAATAAATAGATAATAAAGTAAATTGAATAAAATAATAAAGTATATAAATAAATATTATGAAGTATATAGTTAAGTAATGAAGTATGGTTACTTCATATATAATAAAGTAAAATATATAAATTAATAAAATAAATAATGTATAAATAAATAAATAATACATAAATAAATAATAAAGTTAGTATGTAAATGAATAAATGTAAATGTAATAAATAATAAGCATGTAATAAATATAAACATAATATGTAATTAGGTAGGAGTAAATGAAAAAAATGTAAATATTGATAATAAATGTAAGTATAAATATCTTAGATAAATAATAAAAATGTAAATGAAAAGGAAATGTAAGTGTAAATGTAATATAAAAATTAAAAAATATAAAATGAATAAATAAATAAATGTAAATGGATAAAGAAATAACAATGTAAATGTGATAAAAACTTAAATAATAAATATAAAGGTAATAAATAAATTATAAAGTAAATGTAATGAATAAAAATGGAAATGTAAATGTGGATGCTTTTTTAAATAAAGAAATGTAAATGTAAAAAGACAATGTAAATAGGAATTTAAATGAAATAAATGTAAATGTAGACACAAATGTAGACAAATAAAAATATAGAATATAAATGTAATAAAAAATGAATAACAAATGCACATGCATGAATAAATAAATGTAATAATATATATGAAAATGAAAGTAATATGAATGTAATAAATAAATGTAAAGTATGTATAAAAAAAAGTATATACATAAATAATAAAGCACTACACAAATAAATAAAGTACATAATTAAAAATAAAATGCAGTAAATATATAAACAAATAAATAATATATAAATAAATAATGAAGTATAAATAAATAATAAAAAGAAGTATATATAATAAAATATTTAAATAGTAATAAGTTGTAAGAATCATTTTTATAAAAATTTACTTCACAAAACAAAAATCTTTCAAGTTTATTATGTGTTTGTGTATATAAAATTATCTGTAAAATTATTAAATAAACAACTCACAAACCTTTAATGCCAGTGTGCACAATTTTATGCTTAGCTAAATCCTCTTTCCTCATGAAGGTCTTATCACACTCATCGCACTCCAAAGGCTTTTCACCTTCATGGATAAACCTTTCATGAAGACGAAGCCTGAAATCACAAGCATAAAATATATACTTATACATAATATTGCACAAAATTTATTATCCTTACCTGCTCTTTCTATTAAACGCTTTCCCACAGACCTGGCAAACATACCCGTGTTCGCCTGTATGATGGAAAAGATGAGCCCTTAATTGAGTCGATTGAATAAATGTCTTTCCACAATAGTCACACTTGAAAGGCTTATCCATAGTATGTGTTTTTAAATGCCTGTTGAGAGTCTCTTTAGCCCCAAACCGATTGTGACACTAGATAAAAAAAAAAAATGGTTTAATAAAAAATATATAAATCATGTACAGTGCAAAGAATATTTATTCAGAATACAATTTAAATCTTGTTGATGCATTTATATATATTTACCTAACGAGCAATCCAAAAACAATTGTCCAAACTATCAGCATGTAATAATAAATCATACAAATTTTTATATTAATAATTGGCAAAGAGGAAAATATAGAAAAGTACAATTGTAAAAAAAATGGTAAAACAAAAAAAAATCAACTTGCACATTTTTACAGATTTGATTTAAATGAATATTTTGCAACCTTAAAATTGATTTTTATCAGATTTTAAAAAATTACTGTTTTGAATAAATATTTTTTCAATATTTAAGTTATAATATCAAATTTAAAAAAATTTATATCAATATTTTTTAATAAATTTTCTATCACACTTTTACAAACTTAAGTTTTTAATGAACATCTTTGTAAAGTTTTAGCACATTTTCGCTTCGTTTTTAATAAATATTTTCAAAATGTTTAATATTTCCTGTCACATTTTAAATTTATGTTATAAATGAATATTTTTTATCGCACTTTTAAAAATATTAAAGTTTTAAATAAATATTTTTGCAAAAATTAATAAATTTAATTTAAAGAAATTTGCAGTTTTTATCTATTACATGTTTAATTTTAATTTATCAAATGTTTAGCTAACTAATTACTATCATTACACTACTTCTCATAGGCCTATAATATTTTAAGGGTTTCAGGACAACTATCAATTATACTACCATGCAAACTTTGTATAAAATTTGGTAGAAAAACAATTAAAACATTAACAATCCTTATTAAGAACACTTTTGTTAAATTGTGATAGAAAATAATAAAAAATTGCAATAATATTCATAGCCTAAATGGTCACCAGGTTCAGCCTTAAAATAAATTTGAAAAAAAAAAATGAAATGACTTTGTAGAAGAATTAATAAAAAATACAAAAATGTTCATTAAAAATTTATAAATTTGTACATGCCACATGTCCATCTTAAAAAAAATCATTGAAAACTTTCAAAGTTGTAAAAATGTGGTAGGAAAAAAACTAAAATTGTATAAATATTCATTAAAAGTTTATAAACTTGTAAAATTGTGATAGAATTTTTTTTTAATTAAAAATTATTCATAGAATTCATTAAATTTGTAAAAATAACCACAGAACTATTAGCACACCTACAGAGAACATGTTGTAGATAAGTTATTATAATTCAAACATTTCTCATAAGCCTATAATATTTTGAAGAATTTATTACAACATTATCAAAGAATGTTTTATCAAATTCCCAGGAAAGTAACCAGTAGATTCTCCTTGAAAACCAAAACAAAAATAAATACTTACCATTTCACATTCGTAAGGGCGCTCTCCTGTGTGTGTCCTCATGTGTTTCTTCAAAGCATTCGACGAGGAGAACTCTTTATCACAATCTTCAACTGTGCAAGGGAATGGACGCTCACCTTAAAAGTAAAAAGCATAATTAAATTAATTTATAAGATACAAAATATAAATATATTATCTTTCTTTCTATAATGTATTATTTTTTTATTATTACCAGTGTGTGTCCGGACATGTACATTGTAGACAGTCGTGCCAAAGAATATCCTGTTGCAGTACTCGCATTTGTGTTGCTTTTTTGGCTTTGCTTCACCCATATGTGCCCTTAGGTGCTCTCGTAAGTTGTCTTTTCTTGAGAACTCACGACCACAAACCTAGACAATAATAATTTCATAATAAAAGTATGGTTGCAATTGCAGCTAAGAAAGCTTTTCTTTGATTTTGTTATAAAAGTAAATTTTAGTTTCAAGTGTTGACAAATTTTAAAAACTAACATGTCTCTTGACTATTTTACAAGATGCTTTATATCTAGTTTATTTAATATGATATTAAATAATATATATTATTAAAAGGTTCCTAAAGTTCACAATAAATGTGTATATATGTAAATTGTATAAACAATGTCAATTTGTTAAAGATAATTTAATTTATTAAAGAATTATATTAATTATATTTGAAACATCACAAATGTGCTAAAATCAATATAAATTAATAGAATAATTATTGAAAATATCAATGCTTTAAAAGAAGGTGTTAAAATTTAAAGTATACAAAATTTTATACAAAAAATTAATTTATGAAAAATATTGAAACAAAGTAAAAAGTATGAATATTAATATACAATAAAATGATAAAATTTAATAGGTAACATAATAAATAATTCTATTATAAACAATATAAAAAATATTAATATAAAAATTAACAGATTTAATTAAAAATATCAAGTCAAGTATAATATTAAAAGAAATGTTTAAAATTAACATTAAATTAAAATGAGAAATGTGATAAAATGAGATGCAAGAAATAAATTGTCATATTAATGAGTAACAACAAATTAAAATATCGATTATTTAAAATATTGAAAATATATAAAATGTTAAAATTTAATAATAAGAATTAAATATTTAACAGAATAAAAAAATGACAAAACATGCAAAAAAATTATTCAAATTTAATGAACATGATAATTTGTTTAAAAATTAATAAATTCAGTTCAAATGCATAAAAAATATTAAAACAAAGCAAATATACAAAAAATAATAATAAAATTAAACAGTATTAAAATTATTAATAAGCATACAAAAAAATGAAAACCAAAAAACATTAAGTCTAATGAAATTAAACAAGTAAAAAACAAATAAAAAATTAAAAAAAATAAAATGATTTACAATATTATAAATATTAGTAAAATACTCTGAAATAAATTAATTTCATTACAATTAAACGAAAAGAATGAAAAGTAACAAAATAAAAGTATTATTAGAAATATATGAATAAATGTTAAAATTCAACAAAAACTTTGAATAAAATTTAGTAGAATAAATAAAAAAAAGTATCCAATATATTGAGAATGTACAAAAATGTTTAAATTCATTAAGGTTTTTAATAAAAATCATTGCATAAGTTAGAAAATAAAAAGATGGAGAAGAGTGTCAATTTGTTGACATTTCATAAAAATTCAATAAATCTTAATATATAATCGATAATAAATATTAAATTGAAATTTAATAACCAGCACTATTAAAATTAACAAAAGTGGTAAGGTTTATTGAAAGTAAATCATTCAAAAAGTATTAAAAATGTCTATGATATAAAAAAGGTTAAAATTAAGAAAAAAAAACATTGAAACAACCAAATTAAATCTAAATAGTTTTAAAACAATTAAAATGTAGCATAAAGAATAACTAAAACTAAATATACAAAGAATTATTGAAATTTTATAAAGATATTAAAAACTTTATCATAATCTAAAATCCAATAGTTTAAATTTGCATTAGAAGTTTCACTTCACAAACAATGCAGACTCGAACAAACATGATATAAAAAAAAACTATTTTACATTTAACCCTTACCTCACATGGAAGACTTAACCTAGGTGTTCCATTACACCCAGTCTGCTGCAAATGCCTATCCAAGTGATACTTCCTAGTGAAAGTCTTTTCACACTGCGGACAAACAAACAGAGCCCCTTTTCCTACACCATGATCCATGGCTCTATGTCTATTCAGAGTCGACTGATCTTTGCAGGTGCAAGAGCACTCAGGACACCCATAAGTTGGAATGACAGCATGCAGATTTGCAATGTGCTTTTCAAGACTTGAATTTGTTGTGAAGGTTTTGGGACACATGAAGCACTCATGGGGACCATTCTAGATAAAAATATTAAAATTAGTAACAAAATGTGATAATGTTATATCATGTGTGTACATTATTACTTTGTGTTGTTTTTTAGGCAAGTCTCCACAGCAAAAGCAAGGTTCATCCGTAATTGGATCATCATTTTCGTCATCTTCTTCAACACAAAGCAAATCATATTCGGTAATCCCTTCAGTGCCACCAGCAATGGGGGCTACAATTGTGTTTGAAGATTTTAAGCGAGTCTCGATTGATAAAGGTTTGCCTGTACAGAACCTTATGTGTCTTTTTACACCCTAAAATAGAAATGGTAATAGTAGTGGTAAATGATGGTAATAATTGCATTTTATTGTTTCAACTTATATTGCAACTTACTCTTGCAGAAACAAATACTTTTTCACACTTGTCACACCTGTTGTCATCGGGAGCACTGGATGTTTCTTGAGACATCTTCATAAATGTATTTATTGCTGAAAATAATTGATTAGATAAGTAGATATTATTGTGTAATAATGCATTTCATGCGGTTTTAATAAATAACCAAAGTACAAGGCCAGAGCACGAATGTGCGGATGTGCACATATGTCACGTCCTATACTGAATAAATAGAGTAGTGATCGTCCATCAAAGGCAGTGATGTCTTAAGAGAGAGTCTAGCCAAGTGATAATGTCTTGAGAGTAGTCTTAGATATCTTAAGTGGAGATTATGTTTGTTAATTAAAAGAATTAAATACAGTGTATCATACTACAAGTGGATTTTATATTGGAAGCCAGAAGTCTATCTCTTTCAGCAAATACCTCACTGAAAGGGCCCACTATTCTGAAGAGATCTATTATCAAACCAGTAAATCAAACATTACTCCTACTGCTCGACCCAAGGAACCAGAACGAGTTATTACTATTGGTCTGGAGCATGGATCTACCAACATCGGACCTCCAACCCATACTTAAACCCTACTAATCAACAACTTATTTCATTTAAATATATTGACTGATAATTGATAAACAGTTGACTTGAAATATAAACTTAATTGATTGCAATAGGTTATTATTGTTCTAATTGTTCAATAATAACTCTGTTTTTTATCTAAAGAAAAAAAGGCTCAGACGTTTCTCATTGCCAATGATTGAGCTCATCATTCAACAAATCAGATTCCAATTTGCTTTAGAGTACATCGTAAAAGTACTACAAAGAAATTGATTCCAATTGCTATCTACATTTCACCAAATGCAGCATGAGAGATTAAATTATTTGTAATGAACATACTTAATGATCAAATGATCACTAAGCAAAATGATCCAATACTGTTTTACAAATTCTGTTCACGATTAATTAATGGTGAAGAAATAGATTATTAGAATCCAGTGATCCTTGAAGATTCTAATGTGAATTTCTCAGAAACATTATTAACCTTAAAGACAAATTGGAGTTAGAAATGGTCAATAGTAGGAATAATTGAACAACCAAAGGGGGTACATGCTACTACTAATGCAAGGAATATTTACAAAAACATTTGGCATCCTACTTCTGTTATCGTAGACCATACTGTTATAACTGCTACAGATTTGGGTATTTCTTCATTCAAAAATGGCTTTATCCAAAAATATGTCAAGGTAGAAATGATTCAGCAATCCAAGGGAGCACCAACAACCATCGATGCAGAAGAAATAGAAATCTCAGTTCTTTCATGATCCTATTGTAAACATTATAAATTTGAAAGAGATCAAGAAATCAAACTCACTTTCATGACCCTGTTGTAAATCTTATAAATTTGGATACCTCTGTATTCAAAAATGTAGTCGAAGATGCCCTCAACTGTAAATTGATGGACAGAAAACATTGTTAACATTAAAGACTAATTTGAATTAAAAATGGTACATATTAAGAATAATTCAACAACCAAAGGGGGTACATGCTACTACTAATGCAAAGAATATTTACAAAAGCATTTGGCATCCAACTTCTGTTATTGTAGACCATACTGTTATAACTGCTACAGATTTGGGTATTTCTTCATTCAAAAATGGCTTTATCCAAAAATATGTCAAGGTAGAAATAATTCAGCAATCCAAGGGAGCACCAACAACCATCGGTGCAGAAGAAATATTGGCAACATAGAAGTCTCAGTTCTTTCATGATCCTAATGTAAATGTTAGGAATGTGAAAGAGATCAAGAAATCAAACTCACATTCATGACCCTGTTGTAAATCTTATAAATTTGGATACTTCTGTATTCAAATATGTAGATAAAGATGCCCTCAATTGTTAATTGATGGATGGAGAACATTGTTAACCTTAAAGAATACTTAGAATTAAAAATGGTAAATAGTAAGAATAATTCAACAACCAAAAGAGGTACATGCTACTACTAAAGCAAGATATTTTTACAAAAACATTTGGCATCCTATTTCTGTTATCGTAGTCCCTACTGTTGTAAATGCTACACATTTAAGTATTTCTTCATTCAAAAATGTGTCAAAAGATGCCATCAAGCCAATGTAAATGATTCAACAACCAAAGGGGGCACCAACAACCATCGATGCATTCTTGTTTTATCTATGCATCGATGCATAAGAAATATTGGCAAAACAGGAATCAAACTTACTTTCATGTAAGTGTTATAATTTGGGATAATGCTGTAATCAATGGTACTTAAAAGATGCCATCAACAGTAAATTGTTACTAATGCAATGTCAACAAGTCTTGAATAAGCAATAAGAATTAACTAAAAATCAATTATATACCTTCTACTACCGCGATTTCCACATTAAAAATTTCAATCCATCTTCACCCAGAGACTCCACTAACTAACACATATTTCACTTATCCTTAAATCATATATCATATTAAAAAACTTTGTTATGACTATTATCTTCCGCCATTACCTTGTTATCGTGTCCCCTGCCAACTGTCACCTGTTCCTCGAAGACATCGAAAAAGACTCTTTTCTCTCGAATTATAACTGCCAACCCCTTTCTCGAGACTGTTATGGATTGTCGAAATGTCTTGTAGTAAGTATTGTGTGCGTATTTCAGGATTAAATAGGAAAAAACACGCCCCTAATGTAGTGACAACCTATTGTACCAAAACGCCACGCCAAGGGTATATTTGCTAGGCGAGGAGAAAGCGGGTTGCCAGCTGCGGGATAAAGGAAACATATTTAATTTAATAAAAAATGCAATTGAAAAGGTCTAAATACATAAAAACCGGGGCTCTTGTTGTTGAAAACAGATTACAAATGTATTTAGAAGGTCTTTTTGCTTAATTTAGAAAAAATTCAAGTACGTGTTCGATGTGAAGTTGCCTGATTGAGGTGACGTTTTGCTAAAGCACTTTTGGCGGTAAATTCAAATTCAAATTTTGAACTAATCTGGAAACACTTGATAAAAACGTCTTAAGATTTGTAAAAAGCTTATTTAAAGTATGTAAATATTATATCTACATATATACAAAGTATATATGTTATATAAGTAATATAATTTTGATAGTTTTTTAGAAAACTTGGTAAATTAAATACATTTTTATAAAGATCTAGTAAAAAACAAATTATTTCCATATTTATATAAATATAAATATTAACAAAGTCTAATAATCGAGCATAGCATCAATCAAAAAACAATTTCCTTTTACATCCAAACGTTTCGGCTATAATCCTAGTCTTCAGTAAAAAAATTATTTAATCTAACTGTAGTTTAGGTAAATATTAAACATTTCATTGATAATATACAATTTATATATGTATTTCATATATGTTGTCTAGATATAAATAATATTAATATGAATCCTATTAAATTTTAATACTTGTATATCAATTTATATTCATAAAGTTTCCACATTTAATATGTAAACAATTATTCACTTGTTTATAATATATAAATACTATATGTATATAAAAAATATGCTTTATTATTATATTATAAATATATTTATTCATTAATAATTAAATATAATTCCATTCTATAAACTAAAAAACAAGTACATACTTATAAAAATCAGTCTTACGTGCTTAATTTATATATTATCTGATTCTTTTACCATCTATTCGACATTCATATCAACTTCAGCCAACTTTGAGGCTTCTTGGACACTTATGGGGCACATACAAGGCACCATTTGTACATTATTATTATTGTTGGAATTCCTGTTGTCGTTGTTGAGTTGTCTAAAATCAAAAGTTTCCAAATTTTTTCCATTATCTTGGACTGTTAGAGTCTTCGGGACTCCAATGGCAGGGTCTGCTGAAGAAATGTAGTGTTGGACCACTGACTAAAAAAATAGTAAGCATAAATATTTTTAAACATAATTCCTGTTTAATAACTGTCACTTTATTTATATATATTTATCCGTCTATTACTTGGCTTGACATCAAGTCTTGGCTAGCCAAAAAATCCAATTGTGTAGACAGGTCAACTGGTCTAGGAACCATAACACCAGGTTGTTGCTGTTGTTGCTGATCAACCAAGTCAACCAATTGATAACCAGAATCAACCAGCTGCTGCTGCTGGGGTTGTTGAATCAAAATTAAATTGCCCAGTGGCTGATTTGGTTGAACTTGGTTTGATGATGATTGTTGCTGTTGCTGTTGCTCTGGTGGTCGAGCAGTTGTTGGTGGTTTTTGATTTATGGCGTTTTGGTTGCTCTAGAATAAAAGATATATTAGATTTGGTCTTGTAAACTGTATTGGCTAGATGTATTTTAAATAGTACAGTTGCAAGTCATGCGTTTTTACCTTTATTTATCATATATCTAGTAGCTTTAAAAACATGTGATTAATATGAATGATGTATAAGATAAATTTGTACAAAATTATCTAGTCTACAATAGAGACCCTACAGCAACTCAGTATACTCTAGAATTGTCATTGAATATTAGAATATATCATGCTTTAGTGATGTTACATACATTATTTTTAAATATCATCTCTACCTCTTAAACCATTTAATAAAGATGAATATCGTTTATGGAAAATTTGTCTAAAATTAAATAATCTACGAATTTTCCTAAAAATAAATCCTTTCTAACAACTCGGTATACTCAAAAACATCACTTACTTACCACAATATCCTTTTTCTCATCCTCCTTAGTATCAATCTTCGACTGCGCCGCCTGAATTTCCACAACCGGTTCCGGTTTCTTCTGCTCAGTCTGGGTCACAACCACGGTTGTGGTTGTCGGTTTTTCCGGTTGTGGTTTGGGCTGAACCGGTTGCAATACCGGTCTTGGAACCGGATACCAAGGCGGGTAGTTGTAACCATAGTAAGGATAAAATGGTTGTTGGGGGGTATGGATATTGTTGTTTGTTGTTTAGTTGGTTGGATGGGTTGTAAATTTGGTTGGGATGGTTGAAGTAACGGATTATGGGATAGGCGAAGGCTCGGTAGTGGTATATGGGTGGTGTCTCCGCTGGCGGTTTCCTGGAAAAGAAATAATAAAATATTCATTAAAAAAAAATTAACTCATTAGCACATTTATTTATTAAATCTCTTGTAACTTTTAAACAGTTCGTGTAAAATACATGAAATATTCGGCAAATTTGTGTAAAATAATCTACAACTTTTTCTAAGAACATAAGACCCTACAGCGACTTGATATACTCGTAAATTCAAGTCAAAGATGGAAAATAAAAATATTCTTGCAAGTCGTTTATGTGCATTTATTTATATTATTATATCTCTTGTAACTTCTGAACCATTCGATTAATATGACTGATGTATATGAGAAATTTGTTCAAAATTTAATAATCTTGAAGCCTCTCTAATATCATAACACCCTAAAGCAGCTCGGTATATTTTAAAATCACTTTCAAAACACGAATTTATGTCCAAGTGCATTTTTCTAGTATATGCCATGTAACTTGTAAACCATTCTATAAATATAAAAGATGTATCTAGTGAATTTATATAAAAACCAGGCGAATTCCGTTTCACCACCAGATGGTTTCATTCCTTATCTATGGTTTCATTTTATGTAACATTTCGTTTGGTGATTAAAAGATGAAGAAAAAAATTGCCTGCTGTTGAAATTGAATAAAAATTTGCACAATACACGTGATAGATTTGATTTCCAATTGAAATGTTAGAAAACAAATAACTTAGTTTTTTCACTTTTTTTGTACAATTTCACAGTGAACACAATACCGGTTTGTCACATGAAATTAACTGAGCAGAGAACAATGAGTAGCTGTCAAACAAATGAGTAGCAGTCAAACAAAAAATATTAGGTTGAAGTACATGCTAAGTATCAAAGATGACGCTGTATTTGAAAAAAGAAAAAGTGTTTTCCGCTTTTCTGTTGAAAACTTTCTTCAATTTTATTTGCTATAAACCTCACGGAGTCCGAGACCTTTCCAACGAATGCAAAATCGTCGAAATCGGTTCGTACGTTCTGGAGTTATATCGTCAGGAAGGAAAACCCGACTTATTTTTATATAATAGATTAAATAATCTACAGCATTGTCTAATATATGGCCGTACAGCAACTCGGAATACTCTAAAATTTTATTCAAAATGGAATATAAGTGTTCTTTCTTCAGCACTTTGATCGTTAATTGACTTGCAACATTTACTTAATAAATCTCTTGTAACTTTTAAATCATTCGATTAACTCGAATGATATATATGAGAAAAATGTTCAAAATTAAATAGTCTACAAGTTTTCTAAAAGTATAATGCTCTACAGCAAATCGGTATACTCCAAAAACCTTTTTATTTAATATACGATATGAATTTATCACCTCATTTATCTACTATATTTCTACTATTAACTTTCAAACCACTGGATTAGTATGAATAAAGCATTTAAAAATTCTACTACTAAGTATGGGAAGTTGTTTTAGGTTTTTTTTATAATAACGCCAGCAAGAATTGATCTCAAGATTTTTTGTACAAATCCGGTTTAAGGTTTTTTTTGAGGTCCTAATTTAATAATTTTGGACCACCTGCAGGTCTATTGTGGTCGGGACAACATCTCAATTATATATATATATATATATATATATGATATTCAGTTTTCAGGGCAATACATCAATTAAAAAATTTGTATGACTTTAAAACATTTTTATTTATTCCATACGTTTCGACACATTGTTTTGTGTCATCTTCAGTGGACTCTAGATTGAAAGAACAGATAGAAATTATTAAATAAAAACTAATATATAAGAAGTGATATGGTATGAACTTACATGCAATTGAATTAATCCTAATTATTTCATATTATAAATGTTCACAATGCACAATCTTAATTATTTCATATTATAAATGTTCACAATGAACAATCCTAATTATTTCATATTATAAATGTTCACAGTGCACTAAAAAACTAATCCTTGTCATTTTAAGTTGAACAATATATAAATTTTTGACTGAGATTTTTATGAATTTGTGAAGAACATCGCGCCATACATTTCTGTGCTCCGATGTATGGGTGCCTACTGAATGTACGTCAATGTGCGAACCACATGTTGAGGGCTGAGGTACAAGGCAAACGAACTGACCAAAGAATTTAAGATTTGACAACGCGAGAGGGTACATATAGTGAAATATAAAAAAACATGACAATTGTGAGGGTGGACATAATTAGTAAAATTGAGATCAAAATTAAAAGAAAAAGAAAAAGAAAAATTGGCAATAAAATTAATATAATTAAACGTCGATCATGATAGGTAACTATTTTAAAGGTATGAATTTCGAGACATTGTTTAAGACTACTTGGTAATTCTCGCACAGTGAGGAAGTATCCAATCTTTTGTTTAAACTATTTTTGTAAAGGTGTATCAGACAAGATTCTGAAAAGCGTCTCTGAGATGTATTCGATTCGTGATAAAAATTGTGGCCACATCAAAATTGAAAGTATGATTGAAATTTTGTATGTGATCAGTTATCATTGTTTGATTTTGATTTTTATTTTTGGAATTGTTATAATGTTGTCTAAGACGTTTTTTAAGATGTTGTCCAGTTTCGCCAATATAAGTGGCCTCACAATTTGTACAGTCAATTTTATATACGATGTTAGAAATACGATCTAAACTTGTCGGTGATTTTAAGTTCGAAAATAAAAAGTTGAGAGTCTGATCAATATTGCAAACTAAACGCAAATCCGCGAATTCAAATAGTTTTTTCCAAATAGGAAAGAGATTTTTAATGTAAGGGAGACAAATAGTGCCAACAAACTTATTTTCTTCTTTTTTTCTGGGACACGAGGGAAAGATGATTATGTTTTGTGTTAAGGACGGAAAGTCTGTTGTTAATTACTGATTTTATAAGGTGTGGGGGATAGCAATTATTTAATAGGGTTCTGTGGATTAGAGATAGGTTAAAGGCCAAAATTTTTTATCTGACAAGAGAATAGCATGATCAACTAAATTGATAATGGTACCGATTTTCATGTTAGTGGGATGATAAGAATGGAAATTGAGATATCTGCCAGACCACGTTGGTTTCTGGTACCAGTTAGTAATAATTTTATTATCTGTAGTTTTTATGATATTTACATCTAAAAAGCTAATTGACCTATTGTGTTCTTTTTCGAAGGTAAAGGTTAGGTGTTTATTAAAGGAGTTAAAATTTTTTAGTAAAGAATCAAAGTTATTTTTAGGAATGCAAGTAATTATATCATCAACGTATCTATAGTAAAGGAAAAATTCAACATTAGAAAGCTTAAAAACATTTTTTTCAAGATGTTGTAAAGAGAGTTCAGCAAGAGCAGGTGAGATAGGCGATCCCATGGGGGTACCAAAAATTTGTGTATAAAATTGTGAATTGAATTCAAAATAAGTATTCGCGACTATGAATTTAATGGACTCTCGAAACCAATGGAGGGAAAGGGTGGTGGGCAAGAAATCTCATCCCATCTATCTGTGATTGACTCTAAAATTAGTTCTAGTGGACATTGTGAAAAGAGAAATACGTCTAGGCTTATTAAGAGGGAGTTGTTGGGCAATTGTGTATACGTATTTTGTTGACAAATTCGAAGGAATTTTAATAAAGAAAGGAGAATTAACTGCCTTAATAAGCCTAGACGTAGTTTCTCTTTTTTCACAAATGTCCCACTAGAACTAATTTTAGAGTCAATCACAGATAGATGGGATGAGATTTCTTGCCACACCACCCTTTCCCTCCATTGGTTCGAGTCCATTAAATTCATAGTCGCGATACTTATTTTGAATTCAATTCACAATTTATACACAAATTTTTGGTACCCCCATGGGATCGCCTATCTCACCTGCTCTTGCTGAACTCTCTTTACAACATCTTGAAAAAAATGTTTTTAAGCTTTCTAATGTTGAATTTTTCCTTTACTATAGATACGTTGATGATATAATTACTTGCATTCCTAAAAATAACTTTGATTCTTTACTAAAAAATTTTAACTCCTTTAATAAACACCTAACCTTTACCTTCGAAAAAAAACACAATAGGTCAATTAGCTTTTTAGATGTAAATATCATAAAAACTACAGATAATAAAATTATTACTAACTGGTACCAGAAACCAACGTGGTCTGGCAGATATCTCAATTTCCATTCTTATCATCCCACTAACATGAAATCGGTACCATTATCAATTTAGTTGATCATGCTATTCTCTTGTTAGATAAAAAATTTGGCCTTTAACCTATCTCTAATCCACAGAACCCTATTAAATAATTGCTATCCCCCACACCTTATAAAATCAGTAATTAACAACAGACTTTCCGTCCTTAACACAAAACAAATCATCTTTCCCTCGTGTCCCAGAAAAAAGAAGAAAATAAGTTTGTTGGCACTATTTGTCTCCCTTACATTAAAAATCTCTTTCCTATTTGGAAAAAACTATTTGAATTCGCGGATTTGCGTTTAGTTGCAATATTGATCAGACTCTCAACTTTTTATTTTCGAACTTAAAATCACCGACAATTTTAGATCGTATTTCTAACATCGTATATAAAATTGACTGTACAAATTGTGAGGCCACTTATATTGGCGAAACTGGACAACATCTTAAAAACGTCTTAGACAACATTATAACAATTCCAAAAATAAAAATCAAATCAAACAATGATAACTGATCACATACAAAATGTTCAATCATACTTTCAATTTTGATGTGGCCACAATTTTATATCACGAATCGAATACATCTCAGAGACGCTTTTCAGAATCTTGTCTGATACACCTTTACAAAAATAGTTTAAACAAAGATTGGATACTTCCTCACTGTGCGAGAATTACCAAGTAGTCTTAAACAATGTCTCGAAATTCATACCTTTAAAATAGTTACCTATCATGATCGACGTAATTATATTAATTTTATTGCCAATTTTTCTTTTTCTTTTCTTTTAATTTTGATCTCATTTTACTAATTATGTCCACCCTCACAATTGTCATGTTTTTTTATTATTCACTATATGTACCCTCTCGCGTTGTCAAATCTTAAATTCTTTGGTCAGTTCGTTTTGCCTTGTACCTCACCCTCAACATGTGGTTCGCACATTGACGTACATTCAGTAGGCACCCATACATCGGAGCACAGAAATGTATGGCCGATGTTCTTCACAAATTCATAAAATCTCAGTCAAAATTTATATATTGTTCAACTTAAAATGACAAGGATTAGTTTTTTAGTGCACTGTGAACATTTAATATGAAATAATTAGGATTGTTCATTGTGAACATTTATAATATGAAATAATTAAGATTGTGCATTGTGAACATTTATAATATGAAATAATTAGGATTAATTCAATTGCATGTAAGTTCATACCATATCACTTCTTAATATATTAGTTTTATTTAATAATTTCTATCTGTTCTTTCAATCTAGAGTCCACTGAAGATGACACAAAACAATGTGTCGAAACGTATGGAATAAATAAAAATGTTTTAAAGTCATACAAATTTTTTAATTGATGTATTGCCCTGAAAACTGAATATCACATATTTCAACATCAAAATTATATTATAAAAAAAATTTAATATATATATATATATATAC